CTCATGCTAATAAAATTGTTACATCTGTTGGTTATTGCAGTATGTAATAGCTCATTCCATTTAAATAATGTATCTAGAATCTTTTTCTTGTTGCCATTGTTGCCTCTAGAAATAGTTAAGTTTCATACTATGACACTCAGTTCTTAGTTACGACTCTTAGTTTTATTTCATTTTTCTTATGAATTAGGAAAAATATTTTACACAAATAGCCATTATCTATTTTATTGACATTTTTCTTCTCATTTGAAAGGAAACATTTTTTTTCTTTGAAATTTCTCAAGATTATTTTGGCATTATTCATGGGTCTGTTGCCAGTGGTTTAAAAATATTCATCATTTCTCTTAGAAGGTAAACAACAAAATGCCATTGGAGGTTTAGAAGACAAAGAAAAATGTCCTTCATTTCACGTTGAAGGTCTTTAGAAAGACTTCCTATGACATTTAACACATAATAAACATTTGGAAAGCAAGCAGAAATCTAAACCTGCAAGGTAATTAATAAACCACTGGATTCTCTGCAGACCTGTGTAAAGAACTGCTTGATGCAATTTCCAGGGTTTTACTAGGCTCAAGAAACTTCTCAATCACAGCTAATAAACAACGATGACATAGTGTCCAATATGATTTCACAGAAAAACTTGCTAACTTTTTTTGCGGATACGTGAATGTTTGTTGTACATAGAATTAGTAATATTGAAAGTGTCTTTTAAGTTTTAAAATATTTACATAAGTCCTTATCATCACTAAGTCCTTGTCACCACTGTCAAGGTATGAGCTTGACAATGTTCATGGACAATTTTTGGCTCTTCTTTCTCACATGTAACTCTTAAAATGTTCCCCTCTGCTGGTCCTCATTAGGCTGGCCATCTGTTGTAATTAGAATGAAGTCAAATCAAGTCTCATTTGCTGTAGAAGAGGTAGGCGCTGTTAAGTCAATCACATTATGATGTACCTAATGGCTGCACTTTATGGAATGTGTCTTGGAATATTTTCTGGGTGTGTATTACACAGATCACCACCTGTTCCTCCATTCCTCCACCACGGTCTCATCATGATTCTCTGAATAGGCTTAAGTTCATTAACAATGCCCTACAACATTTCTGTCTTTATTATTCAGAATATTTTACTTCAAAAATGTATGCATTTCAGTATGTGTATTTTTCTTTAAATAACTTTTTTGGTTATTTTCATAACTCCAACCTACTACTTTTATTCACAGTGCTACAGATTGAATCCTGCAAAATCCAGGAGACTTAATGGCCAATGCATTGGTATCAAAAGGTGAAGGCTTTAAGAGGTGATTAGGTGATGAGGGCGCCTCTCATTGGTAATGATATTAAAGCCCTTATCAAAGAGGCTTCACACAGCATTTGGTTCCCTTCCCCTGTTTTCTGCCCTGTGAGGACACAGCCTTCCTTCCCTCCAGAGGGTGCAGCCACAAGGTGCCATCTTGGAAGCAGAGAGCAGCTCTCATTGCACAACTGAATCTTGACCTTAGACTTCTCAGCCTCCAGAACTGTGAGAATATAAATTTCTGTTCATAAATTACCCAGTCTCAGAGAGTTTGTTACAGAAGCACAAAACAGACAAAGACACACAGCAAATATGAAATATTTTCAGCTTGGAGCTTCAGGTACTCTGATTTCCAAATGCATAGTCATGTTTCAATACCAAGAGATATTCAGGCCAACATGGCAGTCATTTCAAATAAAATTCATTGCTTTCGTGGGCTTTGAACGTTTCTATATTTTAAGGCTACAGTCAATAAACAGCGTAATGGTTGAGTTCATGGATGCTGGACTGAGTCTGCCTCGGTTTGCACTTCAACTCTGTGCTTATTGGCTGTGTGCTTTTGGGAAGGTCATTTAATCTCTGTGTCTCAATTTCCTCATTTGCAAAATGGGAGACAACAATAGTACATGAATCTTAGGATTCATTTTCAGCACTCGTCTTGAGGATCAAATGACAAAAACACTTGTAACAGGTTTTGTCACATAGTAATCACTACGTAAATGTTGGCTTTATTTATTTATTGAGATGCAGTCTTGCTCTATCACCCACGCTGCAGTGCAGTGGCGCCATCTCGGCTCACTGCAACCTCTGCCTCATGGGTTCAAGCGATTCTCTGCCTCAGCCTCCTGAGTAGCGATTACCGGTGCCTACCACCATACCAAGCTAATTTTCGTATTTTTACTAGAGATGGGGTTTCACCATCTTGGCCAGGCTGGTCTTGAACTCCTGACCTCGTGATCCACCTGCTCGGCCTCCCAAAGTGCTGGGATTACAGACATGAGCCATTGTGCCCAGCTTATTTTTGATATTATATTTCAAACATAAAAATCTACCAAAGCTTTTTAAAACTTTTTGAGTTGCTGAAATCCTATTGTATTTTGAAGAGAATTTTTGCATGATATTATTCCTCACTTATTCTAATGACTTTCAAAGCATGAACCGGATCCATGCAGAAATTTTATAATTTAAATTACATAATTCTCAGATATGTAGATTGTAGATGTACAATGATTAATTGTTGAGGGAAACAAAGTTCTGGATTATTCTATGTTGCTGCTATTTGAGACTCCACTTGACGAGCAGCAGGTGTAGAGAAAAAATGTTTAGAATGTTTTTGGTTAGCATGGTTTGAATGATTTGTTTAAAGATAATTTTCAAACATCAGAGTTACCAGAAATTATGAGAACCACAGAAGAGTGAGAAAGCTGTGAGCCAAATAGCACCAAGCCCTGAGTGTGCCAATGTGAATCAACAAGTGTGTGTCTTTGGGTTGGCAAAGCACCCGCAGGATGGAGCTGACACAATTGAAATGTCGTCAGTGGCCTGGATATGACAGTGGCACCAGGACTTTCCCTTGCTTTTGTTTTCTATGTTGATGAAAATAAGTGATGTAAATTTTTACAGAAAATATAGAAAACGGCTTCATTTTTCACACATAGTTGATTTCCCATGTAATTTTGGAAGGTCTTTCTGTTTCTGACACCCCACCACCCCTATTTTCTCCATTTGGAAAGTTGGAGTGGATTATGCTTAGGTCACTGAAGCTCCCAATTCTGTTTATTTATAATCCTGCATTTGTGTGTTGTGGGGTGTGTGTGTGTGTGTGTGTGTGTGTGTGTGTGTGCGCGCATTTACAGCTGTACTTTAAAAGGAAGGGAAAGGAAGCAGGATCTACAGTAAAAAGCTGGATCTCTTAGAGAGTCATGAGATATTTATTTGTAGTTATTTATACTGTAAAAGGTTAGATCTCTTAGAAAGTAATGAGTTAATGTCTCTTACATGTATTTTTAAGGAGACATGAAATTATTTATTCAATATGCTTTAAAATATCTTTTGAGTGAGTAAAATGTGAGAAGGGCCAGGTAGTGGGGAAATCATGATAAGAAACAAAACAAAATTTTTGCCCCTAAGAGGGTCAGTTGAGTAGAGACATAGGCATCAACAACTCTTTGCTGTAAACAAAGAATCAGGTGGTCCACAGCCTGGCCAACATGGTGAAACCACATCTCTACTAAAAATACAAAAATTAGCCTGGTGTGGTGGGGCACGCCTGTAATTCCAGCTACTTGGGAGGCTGAGGCAGGAAAATCACTTGAATCTGGGAGGCGGAGGTTACAGTGAGCCAAGATCAAGCCACTGCACTCCAGCCTGGGTGACAGAGTGAGACTCTGTCTCCAAAACAAAAAAACCTTCTCTTAGCATGAACCAATAAAGTCTAAACACCCTATCAAAATATTTTTAAAGGCAATTGTTGTTTTGGTAATATAAGCATTTTGGCAATACCTAAAAAATTCTTGTGGAGAAATAACAAGGCAGAATTTGCTGTGCTTCTATCTTCAATTTGATGATGAAGCTAAAATAATTTAAATGGTGTAGTATTGGTTCTTTACTAAGAGAGTTAAACTAAACAGAGTAAAACTGCATAAAAGTCCAAGGAATATGAACTTCCCATTGAGCGTGAAAGGAAAATTTTTAAAAATGGATATTGATTAGCTCTTTAAGAAACAAAAGGATTCTCAGCCTCACACTAGATGCCAAATTGATTCCAAGTAGATTAAAGAGCTAAATGTAAAAAGAGATTAGCAAAAATGAAAATTTTATCAAATGTGAAAGACCTTTTCATGCATGACACAACAGGTAAAGGTCTTTTTAAAATAATTGACAAAAAATAATTGTACATATTTATGGAATACATAGTGAAACTTCACTACATGTAATGTATAGTGATCACATCAGGGTAATTAGCATATCCATCATCTCAGACATTTATCATTTCTTTACTTTGGGACCATTCAATGTTCTTCTAGCTATTTGAAACTGCAATATGTTATTGTTAACTAGAGTAATCCTAAGGTGCTATAGAAGAGTATAACTGATTCCTCCTATCTAGCTGCAATTTTGTATCCATTAAGAAATCTCTCTGGGGCCGGGCACGGTGGCTCAAGCCTGTAATCCCAGAATTTTGGGAGGCCGAGGCGGGTGGATCACGAGGTCAAGAAATCGAGACCATCCTGGTCAACACGGTGAAACCCCATCTCTACTAAAAATACAAAAAATTAGCTGGGCATGGTGGCGCGTGCCTGTAATCCCAGCTACTCAGGAGGCTGAGGCAGGAGAATTGCCTGAACCCAGGAGGCGGAGGTTGCAGTGAGCCGAGATCGCGCCATTGCACTCCAGCCTGGGTAACAAGAGCAAAACTCCGTCCCAAAAACAACAACAACAACAACAACAAAAAGAAATCTCTCTTATCCATCCCTTCAAAAGTCTTAAAAGGATAAATTTGAGCAATGAAAATAAAAACAATGCACACCAAAATATCCCAGGAACAAAATTTAAAGGATAAGAAAAGGAAAAAAAATGCAACATATAAGAGCTTTTCCAAATTAATAAGAAAGATAATTCACCAAAGAATTTTTAAAAATACACATTATAAAATAAATATTTATAAATACTCTAAAATATATAACAAATGTTAACAATGATTGATAACAGAGTGAGATTACGAAGACTTTAATTTTTTTGTTTATGTTTCTAAAGCATTCTTCAATAAATATTTAATAGATGATAATAGGAAGAAATAGGCACTAATAAAATACTGGTGTGAGCGTCAGTTGGCATATCATATGAAGGGAAATTTAGCAACACTTACCAGAATTCTTACTATTTCACATACCACTTGAATGAGTAATTCCCCTTTTAGCAGTTTATTCAAGGAAATAATCAGGAATATGTAGAAAGATATAGCTGCAAAAATGGTCTTGACATTTCTGTTGAAAACAGAAATAAATGGAGACAAAAAATCATCTCACATAAAAGCTAGGTTGAATAAATAACAGGACGTGTCCTCAACAGAATATTAGAAAGCTCTTAAAACATCATTGTGAAGACATGGAAATAGTTGTGGCATATTATTGAAGGAAAAAGACATATGAAACAAAGTTTAGATACACCTTTATAAACTCTATAGCTGATATCTATGTTTTTCTCTATATATTGATACACAGCATATTAAGAAAAGTTGTAACCTAAAATACCAGTACTCGTTACTTCTTACTAGCGAGAGTCACATACATAACATAAATATGGGTTTTCTGAAATAAGAAAGAAAGCATTTTTTAAAAGGTAATCATTTTAACTAACAATTATATTCAGTATGTTCATTATTTGGCTTGTATTAATTATCTTAAAAGTACAAATGTGAAAAAGTCTTCTGTCCCATGGCATGGAAAACATGAATACTTGGACTCTTCCAATAGAATGGAATAGAATAGAATAGAATAGAATTGAATTGAATTGAATAGGTCTTTAGTCTTTATCCATATCCGTGTCCCCTTAAAATGAAGCCAATGAGAGATTTTATTACATAAATTATATTTGAGTTCTGAGAAAGATCTGCCTTATGTTAAATACTGTGATTAAAGAGTAATTCTATAGCAAGGTTTGAATATTGTTGCTGAATGACTTTAACCTTCGTAACAAATACAATCGTATTTGTCGAGAACTGTGGAGTTTACACGGCTCTTTTATATGCATTATCTTATTTTAATGCCCACAACAGCCCTGAGAGACAAGCAAGGTATTTTTACATATGAGGAAACTGAAGTTTCAAGATGTAAATGAACTTGTTTAGGCCACCTAGTTAACGAGTGGAGGAACCGAGCTTAATCTAGGGGCTTCTAAAGGGTAGCAATGAAGAGGAAACAAATTCCATACTCTTTTCCCCAAATCGCTCTGCTAATGTTTAAAAACGTTGACTTAGTAGGTAGAAGTTCAAACTTAATTGTTTCATTGTGGCATCTCCATTCTAGAATCCTACTTGTCTGAAGAGCCTGTAAAAGTCATCTCAGTTATTCTGTCATATGACACTTGACCCAGAAGAACAGTCTTAATGCACGAAAACCGTAACATCCTCCCAGATTATAAAAATCTACTAAGGTAGATTGGAGCTCTTGGGTCATATTATGGCCACTCTAATAAGGTCCACAGCCACCCTTACTGCTGTATGCTAGGTACATCACAAAAACAACACACCAACAACCTTTGAGACAGGCTCTATAATTCCCATTACATGCATGAGAAAACTGAGGCTCAGAAATGTGCCCTTGGCCACACACCTAATGAGCGGCAAAAGTAGGATTGGAATTCAGCGATATCTGACTCCAGACTCTTTCTACTACTCAACGCTTCTTCCCTTGATTCAACCTGGGGTTGAATTGTACAGAGAAAACATACATCTTCCTGGTACTGACAGAGTTTCAGAGCATGTGACTCTGCTGGAGAGAAGACTGCATATTCACTAAGTGGTGATCTGGCCCAATGCCAGCAGGAAGGTCATGTCACTGGAGAAGTACAGCTTTTCCGAGGTAAAGGGAAGCATTGGGATGTTTATACTTCCCTTTCCCCTTTTGTTGATTTTTGTCTACTATTAATAATGTTCTAAATCTCCTTAGGGTAGCTTCCAACAGTGACAGGAGGCCCTGTAAAAAAAAAAAAATAAAAAAAAAAAGACTATTAGGGAACGACTATGTAGTCTTCTTTCAAGCCTTTGATGGGGTCCTACCACCTAAACTGTTTCCTGTCTAGGTGACATTTTGCTGAACCGGTAAAGGAAGACCCTTTAATAGTTTAGATTAGGATGATTCTAGATATCTGGAAGAACATGTGTTTGGTATTTTGGTTATTGTTGCCATGGCATATGATACAAATAACCTGTATTAACCCAGATCTCAAATTCAGCGATGAGAGAGAATAATTGAATATTTTATGTCTTTTGGCAGTTATTTACATAACAGTTTAAAAGTTTTGGTGTTAATAGAGCTGTATGGTACAGGAAGAAAGCGGTAACTTTCAGTTTGAGCCTAGTGTTAACCATATTTGCTGTTTTTGATCTTCTGTGACCAGTATTATAAAAATGCTAATATTCTAATGCAAAGAATTACAAAATGATCTCAATCATCATGAGTGAGTAAGTTATGATAAAGTATATGGATTTAGGAAAAAATCCAATTATGTGTGCATGTGTACCTGTGTACAAACATAGACATATGTATGTATACATGCATACACACATGTGTATATAAATTCACATACACATAAGTAATTTCCATATTTATGTGTGTATGTATGTGCATGTGTATGTGTGTGTATCTATACACATCTCAAATAATAAGTAATTTTTGGAAAATTGCAGTTCTTGTTTTAATTTCTTCAAAATCACATTTTAAAGCTCAAAGGAACATGGAAACATTGCAGTTTGGGTCATCTCCCAAATCATGTGCTTGTCAGTTCTTAAGTAAGCGGATATTAAGAATTTCTTCTACTTTTTGTATTTTCTCTTCCTCCCTCTTTGTCCTTTTCAGAAGAGCAGAAATAACGTAAGAGCGAAATGGTTCAAAGAAAGATGTTTTCCATGTCTTTATTTGATTTTTAAACATTCACTTGATATTTGAGAAAACAGTTTGTCACCATTTTAGTTGTGGGACTTTAGAAATTTTATCAACATAAACATTTCCTGACTTAAAAATAACAGACTTATTAATAACAGAGAAAATTACAAATGTTTATCCCTTATCTCAACTGCCGGAGCCTCAGCCATTCCCATAAAAGCTGCCATGCCAGTGGGAAGGGGTCAGAAAGGAACATTTAGAGTTTCCATGGATTCAGAACAAGAGGAAGGAAAGAAGTTGTGCAAAAACAGTGTAAGAATCTGACTTCAGGAGATCTGGTCTGTCCATGCGTTCAGACCTCTCTCAAACTAAAGGAATTATTTTTTTCTTTTAAAATTTCATTTTACTTTCCTCAACTTCCTACCAATTAAAAATCTCTCTCTCTCTCTCTCTCTCTCTGTAGATGTTATTAAAAATGAAAATATTTTTGGGATGTTCAAGGATTATTACTCATTTATATCTCAGCGTAAGGCTCAATAAAATTGCTTTTCTTAAAGCACCTAAAAGAAATGAAAGCTGCCAAGTTTGCTTAGATTATGGAAGAATTTTGAGACGCGAAGCAATTCAAAAGCCAAGGAATGCTGAGCCTGCCAAGTAGTAGCCATGCTTTTGTGGAGCGCAGAGAGAACTGGAGAAAAGGATTCGACACGTGAGGCTCCCAAGCTGGCAACGAGGACAAGAAATAAACCGCTGGCTTTGATAAATTGTCTGTATTTCATCATCCTCAAGGTTTTAGTTTCTAGTTTAGAAGGGGGAAAGGATCCATTCAGACAGGAAGGCAAACTTCTATTTATCTCTTTACTTCAGGCAGGGAGGGATGGGGAATACCCCTCCTCTTAACTGGGTGCAGAAGTTTCCTATTTCCTGTGTTGTACACACAGACAATTTTCCACGTGTATTTGCAGTGCATTGCACGCCCATTAGGAAAACTGGAAGAGTCCCATTAGTCCACTCTTCTGGACGCAACCACACCAGAAGGAAGTTCTTGAGTCTTCAGAGCAAATTGGTAGCAGAGCCAACCACAGAAACCCCCTTGCCGGGTCTGTAACGTTAACTAATACACACTTAGTATAAAAACGTGGAACACTAAGTAATAACGAGGAAGGAAAGCAAAGGAATATAACTTACCAGTTTCATTTTCCCAAAGCGCTGTGTTTTCGTGCTAAGTCTTGCAGAGCGTTTCTAACCTAGGAGTGCGCCATGCTTGGGAAGCTGGTTAAAAAGTTCGTCTGTTTCACCGCCACCTTCATCCTTCATTCTCGCGCGGGCTGTCCTGCTGTCTCCCTCTGCCGCCTCCCTTTTCTCCTGTGCCTTTCTCCATGCTTCTCACTTTTTTGGGAAAGAGAAGTGGTGGTGAGAGGCCATCCTATTCCTCTTCCAACTTCCTTCCCCTTTAGGAGGAGGCTGGATAGTGCATCCAGGCCCTGGGGTCTCTCAGGCTCTGGCCCTGGGGTCTAGCCCGCCCCATCATGCACCAATTTAAGTGAAATAATAGGATATAACTTTATATAATGGGCAAAAGTGAAATTAGCTACTCAATTAGCATTCACACTAGGTTCTGTTCCTCTAGAACTGTGAGGGGTAGGATACTGTTACTGGTTTTACACGCCAGCAACATCCTCCTTAAATGATTCCCTTCTAATGTTGTTTCTTGAAGACGGATGGATTTCCGATCCAAGGCCCCTAGTAGTAACCCTTGACATTAATCAGTTCATTCGAAAGTTACGTCATCACAAGCCAGGTGTGGTGCTGCGCACCTGTAGACCCAGGTTCTTGGGAGGCTGAGCTGGAGGATGGCTTGATCCCAGGAGTTTGGGGCCAGCCTGGGGAACATAGAAAGACCTCATCTCTAAAAACGTTAAGACTTAAAAAAAATTTTTAAAGTTATATCATCACAGTGGTCAAGCTTTGGACAATTTATGTTTGCAGAGTATATAAAGGTATCTAAAAAAATCTTTCATTTATATGCATTAACTTTTTTTTTTTTAAATAAAGAGTCAGGGTCTTGCTCTGTCACCCAGGCTAAAGTGCAGTGGTGCAATCATGGCTCACTATAACCTTGAATTCCCAACCTCAAGAAATCCTTCTGCCTCAGCCTCCTGAGTAGTTGGAACTCCAGGCATATCCCACCACACCTGGCTAATTTCAGTAATTTTTGTAAAGATGGATTTCGTTATGTTACCCAAGCTGGTCTCAAACTCCCGGCCTGAAGTGATCTTCCCACCATGGTCTCCCAAAGTGGTGGGATTACAAGTGCCCACCCTATCTAAACATTTTCATATTTAAATACACTTTATGCTTTGAGTAATATTGAGTTTAAACAATATTTATATAATTTTTAAATAAACTGAAGTGGTGGTCCTTCAGCCCTCTGAAAGGCTGTATAAATGTCTAGTTTCATAGCTGTCTCAGAATCTCAAAGGGTCCCATAATTCCAACAATGGTAAAGAACCATGAATTTGGATGATCACTGTGTCGTTTAAATTATCACCGAAGTTGCTGATTTTTGTCTGTGCCCTATTTTGGATGTATTTCCTCATTGCTTTTCTTTTATTTATGGCTTAAAAGACTTGAGTTGACAGGATCTTCTCACATCGCATTCCACTATATGCTATTGATGGATCTGTGACCACAATTAAGTAAAAGGCAGGCCACGGACAGAACAGGATTTTCATGTTAACACAAGATGACTTCTGTTGTAAAATTATGAACTTTAGAATTAACAGACTGGAGTTCAGCTCGCGGCAAGAGCTACTTGCAATCTATTGTGTAATCTCACTGAATGTCAGTTTCCTGATCTGTCTATTGGGAAAGGGCATCTGCTTCATGGAGTTGTCATGAGGATGACATAGGATAAACATGTAAAGGGTCTGCCCACTGCAGTTCACGGCACCTCAGGGACACCTAAGAACTTCTCCTCCCTTCTCTCTTCTCTCTCTTTTTTTCTTTTTTTGATGGAGTCTTGCTGTTGCCCAGGCTGGAGTGCAGTGGCATCTTGGCTCACTGAAACCACTGCCTCCTGGGTTCAAGTGATTCTCCTGCTTCAGCCTCCTGACTAGCCAGGATTACAGGTGTGCATCACCATGCCCAGCTAATTTTTGTGTTTATAGTAGAGAAAGGGTTTTGCCACGTTGGCCAGACTGGTCTTGAACTCCTGACTTCAGGTGATCTGCCTGCCTCAAGCCTCCCAAAGGGCTGGGATTACAGGTGTGAGCCACTGCACCTGGTCTCCTCCCTTCTCTTGCACAATACAGACTGTTGGACTTGGTGGTGAAGCTATACTGGATGCAAAGACTCCACCCCAATGGTATTTGTGATATTTACCTATGGCTAATCTTCTATTTTTAGGTCCAGAATGAAAATCCTTTAGATTTCAACTCTTACACTAATAAAACTTTCATTCTGCAATAATAACGTTTTTTTTCATTCCATCTCCTCTCTTGTACTCGTCACCTTCCTCACTTTCAGCAAATCCTGCCACCTTTTCCATTAACTACAGGAAGAATCAATTCATGGTGAGCTCACTGCTTCCAAGGACCTAAGAGAAAAAAGGCTATTAAAGGGACAAATAAATATAATATGTTTAAAGCATGACAATAAATTACATAACTTCATCTCAAATCTTGCTCTGGGGAAAGGTCGACATGAATCGTTTGAAGAAACATGAAACAGATCCTAAAGACAGGCGATTTTTCATAGTGAAATGCAATCTTTTTTCAAGCTTCAAAGAAAGGATTCCTTCAGTCATCTGCTTGATAGGTTATTTTTGACAGGATTTAACTTATTAAATTGTTCTCCTGACCTTTTAAATGGTCTGGGCATAGGACCTTGCTAGGGAAAATGATGAATGTTTGTTCTTAATTGAAATTTTGAAATAACCATGTGGCAAATCGTAGTGAATGCATTTGCTCTTCTATAAAAGTTTCAAAAATGAGTGCCTGCGTAGCAGCACCACAATGATAGTAAGCAATATTAGGGTGATCTGAGGAATGATCTCGAAGAATGTGTCTTCTGGACCAGTATTTTTATGAAAGTGCTCTTTGCACCTGTGAATCATCAAAGTCTTCAAAGATTCTGTAATTTAGACATAATTCTTTCTTATTTCATTAAGAACTGTACCACAGTATACCAATAAAAAGAGTGAATATGCCCGTGAAAATTATTACATAATTATTTATACTAATAGAGAAACCTAATTTTTTTGTTGGCTACCAAAGAGTTGCTGCATTTTCAGCATCAAAATTGCAAAAGATTTTCATAAAATTGTATGAAGTTAAGAAGTGTAGGCAAGTGCATCGTGAAGTAGATCAAAGGATTTTGCTGGTACTATATAAGCTGTATTCTAGTTGCATAAACATGTTAATTAGTGAAATCTACTTATCAAAAACTTAATAAAATAGAACATTGAAAAGATGCAGCATTTTCTGAAAATGTAATTGCTGTGCAACACTTTTATAACCACTGTCTCTAATAAGTATCATTTCCTCTTCCAACTACATCTCACTTCACACAAATTATGTATCTGAACAGTTCCCTTTCTGTTTTACTGTTATAAATGGAATCACATAGATGCACTAGAGAAATCTGTTCTTCTAAAGCATCTGTGGTAACTCATTTGGTAAAATGTGAACAGCTACTGCCTAGGTATCATTCTGTAATTCTGAATTTGTCTAGAACATGTGAGAGAAGAAGAAAAGTTGGGGAGAAGGGCACCAACAATAATTGAACACCTTTTGGGGCAGGCATCTCATATGATCCCCCAACACTGTACAAATTAGATATTCTCACCCCACTTTACAGAAGAGAAAACTGCTCAAGTCCACATAGTTAATAATGGAAAACAATTTGGATGACAAGATTTGAATATTACATATGATCACATATATCCTTTTATGAAGAATTTCATGTACTGTAATTTCAAATGTAGTGTAATGAGCTAATAGGGTCTGGGGTCAGACAGACCTGACCGCTTACTTAACCTTTTAGTACCTTGGTGTTCTCATCTGACAAATGGGATAATAATGGTTCTTACTCCTAAGATTCTTATCAATAGAAATGTAAAATATCTAACATTATTTGGCATATAGTATATACTTAACAAATTCTAGCTAATTATTAACTTCTGGCTATTCAGGCAGCATGCCCAAAGGAATATAAACAAACTCAGCCTCTCTTCTGGACTTGGTTTTCATAGGAACTTGGAAGGCTCCTGGGGAAACTCCATTTTTATCTTCCCAAGTCAGATAATTGTTTTCTGTCAGCCTGCTGATGCGTAGAGTAGTTAGGATTAATGATAGGTCTAGGGGGATGTGTTTGAAAAGAAGAATGTGTAAGTGTTGACAGGGTTCTTTCTTTCTTGTGTGTTACATACTTTGGTGACTAAGTAGCAAAGCCTTTCTGTCTTCCAAGTTAACATGCTAGTCATATATTCTAAGCTTTTCCATAATTTCCTCCTAATTTTTCTAAGGACTGTGGAGTTGATTAATAAAAAAACAAATTCAATGTTATAGATTGAAAAACCAAGGCATAAAATAATTCTACAACTTGCTTAACCATAGTGATAGCTAATGTGTATTGAGACTTAACCTTCTGACTGCTTTATGCTAATCTTCTCTCATATGATCTTCAAAGCGACACTGGGAGGTTGGTGTGATTTCACCCTCATTTTGATGACAAGGAAACTGAGGCACAGGGAGGTTAAGAAACTTGCCCAGGATCATAAAGCTGGCAGGTGAGATTGTCAGGATCCATGCTGGACTCTCTGGCTTCAGTGGGTGTGTTCTTAATCCCTCTAAATGTGTCTTATCATGGGATGTTTTGCATGGATGACTCAGATAAGGCTGGGCTCTAGTCTGTCATTTATGGAGGTATCTTTTCCTTGTTTGTGGTAGTATTTCTTCATTGGTAGCTCCCTCTCACCCCCATTTTTTATTTTTGAGACAGGGTCTCTGTTGGCTAGGCTGGAGTACAGTGATGTAAATACGACTCAATGCAGCCTCGACTTCCTGCGCTCAATAGATCCTCCCATCTCAGCCTCCCAAATAGCTGGGGCTGCAGGTGTGCACCACTATGCCTGGCTAATTTTTGTATTTTTTTGTAGAGATAGGGTTTCACCATGTTGCCCAGGCTGGTCACAAACTTTTGGGCTCAAGCAATCCGCCTGCCTCAGCCTCCCAAAGTCTTGGGATTACATATGCGAGCCACCAAAACTGACCTCACCCCAAATTTGTAAAATAAAACTAAAGGACAAGATCTTTGTGTGACTCATCTCCCTATCATTCCCTCCTTCTTCATGTCAGCACCACCAACTGCAACATCAGCAGAAGACACATTAAGTGGAACTCTCTTGTGTTCAGAGGACAGCGCATCACCACAGCTGGAGTTAGGGGATGGAGAAGGGGAGGCGGGTAGTTCCCCCTCCAACTCCTGTGAGCTGCCACATCTGGTCCCCTCTCTCTTTCGCCCCCTGGGCCAGGAATGCAAAACAGAGGCAGTCTCCACCCCTCCACTGGCCCCAGGACCCCACTGTACCTCTTTGTTTCCTCTTTGTTGTTTTACAAAGATCTGTTTGTTCCATCTTTCCATCTCCTCATTGTTTCTGTCTAAATAGAGAGACAGAGATGAGGGCAGAGGAGGAATTGCAATCACACCCTTCAGTGGGGGAGAGACCAAAATGCCATCACATGCTTGTTAAATGCACATTTCCTCAAAATGCCTCGTAACTGAAATTCACCCGTTTTCTCTTCTTGTGCCCTTTAATCTGATCGATTGTGTGGGCATCTGAGGGAGAGGGACTTTCCATTTGGAATTCATTTTGGCCACATAGAGCTGTGATTGTGGCCTAACCCTGCACATAAAACCCAGATTTTAATTGAGGACAAGATGTAAAAAAAAAATCTTACACAAAATTATCTTATGGTCATTAGGAGATGAGAGAGATGCTTTTGGGAAAAAGAAGTAGCTGGAAGGATATTATAGGAGCCATCCATTTGAGCAAAAAAGTATTTTTGAGACTAGAATTCCAGTCAAAAGTTTGGCTGAGTGCAGTAGCTCATGCTTGTAATTCCAACGCTTTGGGAGGCCAAGGTGGGAGGATTGCTTGATTTCAGGAGTTTGAGAACAGCCTGGGCAACAACACAGGACCCTATTTCTACAAAAATAAAAAAAATTAAACAGGCATGGTGAGTGCCTGTAGTCTCAGCTGCTCAGGAGGCTGAGGTGGGAGGATTGCTTGAACCCAGGATATGGAGGCTGCAGCGAACCATGATCACACCACTGTACTCCAGAGCAAGACCCTGTGTCTAAAAAAAAAAAGAAAGAAAAGTTTCAAAGAAAAGTTCCTGTTCTTTAAAAACCTTACTTGATTCTTCTACAGGATTTAAATGATATCATCTCTTTCAGATTAGATTTTGTTGGTGATATCTTTGTTTTCCTCAGAATTTCCAATGGTTTTATCAGCTATACACATACCCCAAGTTTGACCAGTTTTCAACTCTTCCACAGTGTGGTCTGCGCTGTGAGGGTTGGATCACTGTGGGGGCCTTGTGGGCTCCCCTGATGAAGTCTAACTGGTTGAAGGCGAGGAGTAACCCAAGGCACAGGGAGGTTAATGGATACAAAAATACAGTTAGATAGAAGGCGTAAGTTCCTGTGTTCTGTAACACAGGAGGATGACTTCAGTTAACAAGAATTTATTGTGTATTTCAAAGTAGCTAGAAGAGACGGGAAATGTTTCCAAACACAAAGAAATGGTAAATTTTTGAGGTGATTTGGCTTCCCATGGCACCACGAGGAAGAAGATAAAGAGGATGAAGCCCAGAGGGCAGGTGGCACATGCACTTAGGAAGTAGAATTGAAAAGACGCAGTGATCAGGGTAAGGTGGTCAGTAACCCTGATCTGATGATGATACACTGTATGCTTGCATCAAAATATCACGTCTCCCATAAATACATACTGTTATGTCTCAATACAAATATATTTTAGAAAAAGCATGAATGTTGGCCTGGCGCAGTGGCTCACACCTGTAATCCCAGCACTTTGGGAGGCTGAGGTGGTAGATCATTTGAGGTCAGGAGTTCAAGACCAGCTGGGCCAACATAGTGAAACCCCATCTCTACTAAAAATACAAAAATTAGATGAGTGAGGTGGCATGTGCCTGTAATCCTAGCTACTCGGGAGGCTGAGGCAGGAGAATTGCCTGAACCTGGGAGACAAAGCTTGCAGTGAGCCGAGAGCACCCTGCTGCACTCTAGCTTGGGCAATAGAGAGTTTGTTTCCAAAAAAAAAAAAAAAAAGAAAGAAAGAAAAAGAGAGTGTTGAAGGAGAATGGCGAGTCCAGAGATGAGTGGGCAGTGGCTGGGTGGTGAAGGGTTCTTGTGGGATGGCACTGGGGGTGGGGGGTACACGGCTGTGCAGTGGGGTAGGTTGAGGTGGCGCTGGGACACTGGGGAAAGGCATTTTGTGCACAGCAAGCTGCCTTCACTTCATTCTGAGTGCCATGGGGAACCAAGGAAGGGTTCCATACCCTGCGCAGCGTGATAGCTATGATCACAGTTTTGTTTTAGTGTGATCCCCTTGATTTAAGGAGAGGGCTTCCCATTTTGGAAACAAACTTGGAGCAGACCAGAGAGGACCTGTTGCAGCTATTCACGTTAAGAGGCCATTAGGCTCCTATGGTGAGGAGATGGTGTGGATGGAGCCCAGAAGGCAGATTCCACATGAACTTGGAGGTAGAATCAAGAGGACACGGTAATAAATTGGATGTGATAGGCAGGGAAAGGAAAGGATCTAGGGTCACTTGTTTAATTAAATTTTGACATTTATGACTTGCTCTGTTGTTCCCAGTTATGACCTATGTAGAAAACCAAAATAATAACACAGACAAATAAGTCTGAAAAACAGTTCTGTCAATGATTCAGGAGGGAGAAGCCCGATTTGAGGATCAAGAATCGAGCAAAACAACTAGGGTGCCAGGAACAGAAACTCAGGCTTCCAAGACAGGGGGAATCTGACAGTTCTGCCAGGCACTATCTCATTCCCCCAGGACTGCTGGAGATGGTCACACACTCATCAGTGGTTAAGACCTGCAGGTCTTCAGAGTGCTTCCAAAACCTCATCTAGGCAAGAGTGTCCAAAATATAACATGAAATTAGTGGTAGTGCTATGGATAAGGAAGCCAGTCCCTCTAAATGATAATCTATGTACATGTAACACACATACACACACACACATGCACACACACACATAATGAGAGGGTACGTTCATTTGAAGTTAACTGCTAGGAAACAAAATGTGTCCATCACTTTGTACTAGGCATTGATGTTCTCACAT